CTCAGGGTTTTAAAGTCCTCCGTGGCTGCTGAGGTTTTATCACCTCCTTTCCCACTTTTCATCTGACGTGAGAATAGGTCTTTGCTCCTTTATTCTGTTGATACGGTGAATTTTATTAGGCGACTTCCTAGTACCAAGGAGACTGCGTTCCTGAAGCAAATCCTAATTGGCCAGGACGGATTTTTCACTGCCTCGCAGGATTAAGAGTGTTAACATCTCACGTGCCGAACCGCCGGAAGGGGAAGGCCGGCCGCTCTCTAAACGGAGAGACGCTCTCTGACCGTGTCTGACTCCTCGGCTATGCTTTGATACGGAGCTGCATCTGCCGCCCCGAACATTCCGTCTGACGCTGGTGACACCGTGATGTGTTGTCTGAAGGTGGTGTCTCTTTTCTGTACTTCGGTTCTGAGCCTGATGCAGTGTATGTGCTTTGCCAGCCCGTCAAGACAAGTGACTTGAGCACAAAATGTGGGGTGTAAATCCTCACATCTCAAGGAGGCGAAGGTGGAGTAATTCACCACCCAGCGTGGCGTGGCAGCCTGCTTCTGAGCGCGCTATTATTAACTGGCTTGTAAACCTGCGTTCAGTGTATATTTTATGTGATGGATGGCTGCCGATTAATCTGCGTTTTAGATTTGTTAGGGACTCTTACTTTTGTCTCATTCATCAGATGTTGTAATTCGTACGGGGGGAGCGTCCCCTCACTCGTGGTGCGAGCACTTGTGTTATAAATATCTCCTCTTTCTGAGCCCACATGCTCCTGGGTTTTGGGAGATATAAATCCCACAGGTCTTCTCAACACAATCGTATATTTTGTTGTTCTTCTCACAGAAATTATCTCCACAGCGCTTGATATGTTGGGAAGTCATGTTGCCGATGCATATGGTTGAATTATGATGCTTTCGCATTTCCGAAATCAGATTTTTTTTTTTCCCAAGTAATCATGAGCACAGCGACATTTTCAATTTCAATATATTAAATTTTTTAGGACGCAGAACCTCTCAGCTCTCCAAGCGCATGGTGTTGCCAGCACCCTGGTCCTGCCTTGGAGGCATGTGAAGGTGGTGATGTGTTTGCAGAGTGAGGCCAGAAGGAGCTGCCCCAAGGGGGCCCCTCGAGCCCCTCCCCGGGGCCCTCTGTGGAAGAACGCTGGGTTTTTAGGGGAAACCTGGCATGGTGCTCAGGTTCCAGAGACTGGGCAAGCAGACTGGAGATGCCCGTTGCCTTTTCACTGTCTCAGTGGCGAGTGGTACTGATGGTGACAGCACCAGCAGTCCCAGTGGTGCCGATGGTAATTGTAGCCAGTGTTTTCATTTTTGTTGACAAGGGTCAATTGGTCTGTGGAGAAGGTACTTGGGGAAGAGGTTGAAGTCTGAGCCGTTTAATGAATTCCTCCTCTCTGACAAAGATAGACCTCAGGAATGTCAACAGAACTTTAATAGCAAATACCCTCCAGTGAATATTCATCGCTAGGGCCATCTCAGATGGTTCCGCATTCTCATTAAACACGTCCACACACAGAGGGCACGCTTCCTTCACTGGCAGATAAACGCCACTGTTTACACCCGCAGTGCATCTGCTTAAACGCGAGCTCCTGTCTCTGACAGCCCTTCCGTGTCTGTTCTTCCCTAAACTGCCCTGCGTCTGCTGACGGCCTTGTGCAAGTCAAGTGTACTGTCTTCACGCTTCACCCTTCACCCTGTAACAGCTGTTAGTAAAATACCTGGATTGTGACACGTGGAGTCGTGGGGACTGTGGCCCCTGCAGAAATGCCTGTGGCTGCCTGCTGGGCACGCGATAACCCTGCTGGGCTCCATCGGGAGCATGTGTGAACCCGGGCCCAGCGGAGAATCAGCCTGTGAGGCACTGGCTCTGTTCCCGTTACAGGTGGACTCGGGGCGCGTGACTAGGGGCAGGGCCGTTGGTGGGACGCCGGAGTGTGCAGGGGACACCGAGCGGCTGAGGCTACCTGGTTCCCACTCTGTGACACCTCTCCTTTCTGGCCTGGGCCTTTAGGCACCTCGTGGGAAGCTGGCCCCACACCCTGGGCTGGCCGGCCCCCGGCCCTGGGGCACCTTGGCCCCAGAGCTGTCCCCAAGAGCCACTGTCCCTTGGACCTGGGACGCCCAGCTGACTGTGAGGTGCCCCTCGGAGTGGGGGGCTGGGCTCTCGCTGCTCTGTGGATCCTGCAGGCCCCACCCCAGCCGGCACTCTCCCTTCAGCTCCCTCAGCTGCAGGCGGGTCAGGACTCGGGGTTCCCCTCTGTCTTTCTGGATTTGTGCTCCCTGCTGTCACCAGGCGTGCTGTCTGTGGACACCTTTCCTATGTCATTACAGTCAGTGCAGTTTCCCCGGGAGTCCAGACAAGGCTGATCCATCCATCAGCTTCTGTCTGCCCTCAGCCAGATGCCGCTTCGTGTTCTGGGCAGTGGGTGATCCCACAGTGGGGCTGGGGAGGGTTCGGGGACCAGGGCACGTGGGGGGCCTGGGAGCGCGGGTGGCTTGGTTGGGGTGGACCCCGCCACGGACCCCGGCTGTCCCCAGCATGCGGGACAGTTACTGCCAAGAGAGAGACTGAAGGGCATTAGAGCAAGGCGTTCACCTCTCCCTTCCGTCTCTCTCCCACCCCGAGATGCGTAAATCATGGGAGTCTTATTCTCTAAGTTAATAGCTATTGTTATAGGGAAATAATATGCAAGACATGCCCGGCTGTGGGTGTGACCTCCCGGCTCTGATTACCCGGGGAGGTGGGGTGCTGCCTGGACCGGTGTCGGGTTAAGGGCATGCGAGCGCCGGAGCCGCTGGGGACGTTGTTTCCTGGCGTGGACGCCGGCGAGGGCTCCGGGCAGCGGCCGGGGCCCGTGTGGCGTCGGGGCAGGCGGGCCTGGAGACAGGGCCCCGAGGAGGACGCGCACACCCGTCCCCTCCGCGAGGCTCGCCGGTGCTGGGGGGCAGACCTGCGGGCTCTGCCGGGCTCCTCGGCGGGCTCTGTCCACACCGCTGCTCAGCTGGTGGCCGGGAAGGAGGGAGGCCTGTGCAGGGAGGGGCAGAAGGTCCCCGCGTGGGGTCCAGGCTGTCCTGCCGAGGCCGCGGGCCCCGGTCCTCAGCCACGTGCTTGCCCGGGGCCGCCCTGCGGCCCCCTGACTGCGTCTGCCTCTGCTGGCTCCGGGGCTCCTCTCTCCTCCTGCCGTCTGAGCGGCTCGTCGTCCGCATCACAGCCCATCACCTGCTCCCTGGTCCCCGTCCACCAGGCGCCCCTGGAGCTGATCCTCGCCCCCAGTCCGTCTCCCCATGGACTCGGGGGGCCTTGAGGTCCTGGCTGGAGGGCCTTGCAGGTCTGGAGCATCACCGCTCGAGGGAGAAGCAGGATGTGGACGGTGGTCCAGCGTCCAGGAGGCGCCCACAGGTGTCGTCGATCCATAGGGACCTGGGACGGGAAGGCCCAGGGACACTGCCGGCCGGGGGGCTCACGAGCAGGAAGCGGTCGGCCCTCCCCAGCGGGTGGGGAGGGGGCAGATGGTGGCCCAGCCATCAGGGGTGCGGCTTGAGCTGGCGGGGGGCCAGCATGGAGGAGGTGGCAGCCTGGTGGGCCCAGTGCAGCTGGGATTTGGGAGCTGGCGGCAGGGGGTCAGACCCAGGGCGGCCAGGGCGCGGTGTGGGGGGCGTGGAGCACGGGGGGTCTTGAAACTGCATGTGTGTGTGCGTGTGTGCGTGTGCGTGGGTGATGATGTGGTGGTGTCCCTGGTGAGACCCCCCCTGAATGAAGGTGGGGGGCGTGAGGAGGGGAGGTAGGATGGACTGGGTGTGAGTGGCGAGGAGACAGGAGCTGAGACAGCGCCTGGGCATCGGGTCCTCGGACGGCGGGGAGAGCCGGGCTGACGCGGGCCTGATGCCTGCCTCCAAGGGCCAGGAGTCTCCAGCAGTTTAAGGAAGCGTCTGCTGTATCATTGTGTGTGGGATCTAAGAAGTGACAGAGGTGAATCTATGCATAAAAAGGAAACACAGACATAGGACACAGACCTACGGGGGCCGGAGGGGAGCGTTAAGGGGAGGGATACGTGAGGAGTGTGGGGCTTAGAGGTACAGACTCCTGCTCATCAGATAGGTGAGCAGTCAGCTATGTTCAGCGTCTTGTAATAAACTGTAATGGGAAATAATCTGAAAAAAAAAACCTATTAAAAAATCGACCAAGTTCAGAGACACAAAGAAGAAATCGGTGTTTGCCAGAGGTGGAGCTTGGGGGGTGAAATAGGTGAAGGGGGTCAAAATGGAATAAACAAATGGCAGGGCTGTTGCGTACAGCCTGGCGACCACAGTGGATGGTATTTATATCTCTGAAGGTTGTTAAGAAAATAAATCTTAGAAGTCCTTGTCACGAGAAAAAAAATCCTATGGCTGTGTGTGGTGATGGTGTGAACCACAGTTATTGTGCTGATCATAAGGAATATAGGATGTACAGACGTTCAGTCACTGTGCCGTGCAGCTGAGGCAAATGTGCTGTGACATGTCAGTTGTACCGCAGTGAAAAAGCATCCCACGAGGGAAGTTCAGAGCATCCACCATCCACTCCCTCCCATGTGTCGCTCTGTCCCTTCGTGTCCGTCTCTGTGAGCAGCCGCCCACCGGCCTTCCTTCTGCCCACCCGTCCATCCCTCTGTCTCTCCACCCTTCTTCCTGCACTGCCAGGCCAGCTGCCGCCGCGCCTGCTGGCCAAGTCCAGGGCGGCCACACGCAGTGGCTACCCGCGGGGCTGGGAGGGCAGAGAGTGAGTGTCTCTTGCAGGAGCCAGCTTGTGTGCTGGGACTGAGCCCAGGGCTCGGGGACCTTCTTCCATGCTGCTTGTGAGTCTGTTAAAAAATCAAGATAACTGGAATTTAAAAAAAATTATGTTTATATTACAGACTGAGAAGTATCGGTAACATGTATTTTAAGGATGCACATGTTTAAGAAGTTTCTGCTGTGTTTGCTTTCTGCTCCACCAGCTGTTCACTTTTCTTTCAGATTTTTGAAAGGATACTGTTCATATGGGCCATCCGTCATCCTGCCAGCGGATATGTTCAGGGGATAAATGACCTTGTCACTCCCTTCTTTGTAGTCTTCATCTGCGAGTACATAGGTAAGATCAAGCATGCATGATGCTTCTTCTCACAGACATTAAACTTCTGTGGACTTCAGTGGCCTTATCATGTTGCTCTGCATAATTGCACCCGTGCTGAAAATTGCTGTTAATTTTAATGTTATTAATGATAGCCATTAATAATATTGGAGAATAATAGTTTTATCATTGACGCCCGCTTTGAAAAAGTCCTTAAATCCACATGCTCAACTACTGAAGACATTAAGATGTTTATTATTATTAATATCTTCTTTTAAATAATAAATGAGGAGAAATGTGATATATTCGAGGAGTGTGGTTTTGTGTTAATGGCCATAGAGCTCTGGCTTTAATGATTTCAGTTTAAATGGATAAGGTTAAGGTGATAGACTATTAGTTGAATGTTTTGCTTACAAGTTAAAAACCGAATCCTCTTTAATTGCATTTCTGCAGCATTTCATCACCGTTTTGCTTTTGATATACTAGTAGCATTTAATTTTATGGGAATATTAATTACATGCAGAATAATTGGTTTAGTGGGCATTTAGGTTGGGTTACACTGTCTCTGAGTTCTGTGCATTTCTTCTTCCGTGTATGTTACAGCAAACAACCAGCTGTAACGTAGCTCTGCCTGGTGTGTTTCAAGCTTAGAAACAGTCCTGATGTGTGTGTGTGAGGTCTACTTTCTAATGCATCTGTGAACAGAAATGAAACCCCACAGGACGGTTTACTCTTGAGTGGTAGCGTTTTTATTTAAAACTGGTGTTACTTTGTTACTTTGTCTTCAGGAGCCTTCCTGCCAGAGATCTGTTGTTGTTTTTAGGTTGTGTTTTGGCCTTCTCAGTTTTAGGTCCACTTCAGATTCTGATGTTCTTGTAATCTGAAGACTGAGGTTGACTTGAGACCAGATGGTCCCCTGATGGTGCCCGCTTCTCATCCATTTTGTGGTCCCTTGTGTGGCCGCCCCTCTCCCATCGCTTGGAGTCACATGGGAGCCTCTTCGTTGCTAAGCAACCAGTGATCCTGGGCTGCTCCCCCATCATCTGATCAGCAGGGAGAAGCTGCTCCGGAGCCTGCCTGCCTCTCTGCTTCTTGCTCCCTCATTTGACAGATAATGAAAGTGTTCTTAATGATCCTAGAACAGTAGGACCTCTGTCAGTAGGCTTCAGAGCTGTTAATTGAAAGAAGTTCAACTGAGATGTGATTAGAGAATTGATATTCCATGTTAAATAGACCATTTAATTAATGTGGTAAATAAGTTTGTCCTAACGAGTCTAGCACCAACTTAGGTTGTAAGACCCAAGCGATCCTTGGTGCGTTTGTCTGAATCATCAGCAGGCTGGGATGAAGGGACATGCCCGTGATGTTAATTGTCCAGAAGAGAGAAAAGCTGGAGAGAAGAGAATTCGTGTTCAAGTGTTGCCTTCAGTTAAACTCAGAGACTCTCCATGTCTTCCCACAATCCCCAGCACACACAGTGGTGTGCAGACACATGTGCGCGCACACACACATGCGCGCGCACACACAGGCGCACACAGGCCCCCTGGGGCTGCCGGCAGCCCAGGTCTCTTCCGGGGCTCCTCACCCTGCTGTCCCGCTGTCGAAGGACACTGTCCTCACTGGAGTTTGGCACACAGACGCACACGCGGGCAGCGGCGCCAGCCACCGCCTCTCCAAGCACTCAGCTCCTTGGAAGAAAACTGATGACCAAACTAGACAGCATATTAAAAAGCAGAGACATTACTTTGCCAGCAAAGGTCCGTCTAATCAAAGCTATGGTTTTTCTAGTAGTCATGTATGGATGTGAGAGTTGAACCATAAGGAAAGCTGAGCCCTGTAGAATTGATGCTTTTGAAATCTCATGTTGGACTCTTGAGAGTCCCTTGGACTGCAAGGAGATCCAACCAGTCTGTCCTAAAGGAAATCAGTCCTGAATATCCCCTGGAAGAACTGATGCTGATACTGAAACTCCACTACTTTGGCCACCTGATGGGAAGAACTGACTTACTAGAAAAGACCCTAATGCTGGGAAAGATTGAAGGTGGGAGGAGAAGGGGACAACAGAGGATGAGATGGTTGGATGGCATCACCAACTCAATGGACATGAGTTTGAGTAAACTCCAGGAGTTGGTGATGGACAGGGAGGCCTGGGGTGCTGCAGTCCATGGGGTTGCAAAGAGTTGGACACGACTGAGTGACTGGACTGAACTAAACCTTGGGATGGAGACCCTGGTCGCGGTTGGGCCCTGGAGGTGCCTGTCACCCCCGAGGGGTGGCTGAGGACTGGAGTCAGGAGAGCTCTGGGGACCTCGGTGGTGGCTGTGGGTGTGCGGGTGGTCCAGACGCAGAGGCTGGAGAAGAAGACGGCCACGCAGGCGGCAGTGAAGCCAGTGGGAGAAACCCACGTGGAGTGTTGCTCCAGGAGGGCGTCACGTGCTGGGAGAAGACAGTGGAGGCAGGCTCTGTGCAGGGGGCCGGCTGCTTCTCAGGGCTGCGGGCTGGGAGGCAGGGCTGGGAGCAGTTTTTTCCTCTTTGGGTTCCGCTGAGCCCAGGGTTCCTGAAGTCTGGGTTTGGCTGGGAGCAAGGAGGCCTCTATGGCCTTAGCCAGCCGCGTTTTGCTCTGTCCTCTGCATGGGGGGCCCAGACACTGCTCTCCTGTCACCCCTCGGAAGTGTCGTACCTCTGCGTCCCCACCAGGCCGGCCTGTGGACGGGGCGCAGGCCCGCGGCAGTGCCTGGTGGGGGACAGCTGTTTGCGGGGAGCTCCTCTGAGTCTTTTCGCTGTGTGTTGTATTTATGTAGTTCAGAGCATGTTACATATAAAATTCTGTTTCACGCCTTTTCCCGTTTAACCTTAGAACATTAGCTTGTTCCTGTATTATTAAGGCATCTTGGTAAAAATCGTTTCCACCTCCTGCACATAATATTCTGTTGAGATAATGTAGCATAATTCATGAAACCCTTCTACTGTTGCTGGAGTTTTTAAGTTCTTTTCCCCCCAGGTGAAAAGGTGCGGTTTTTAAGTATTTTTCAAACAGGGGCTGTCATGTTCCTTTTAGCAGTGTTAAATCCGATTTAAGATTAAGAACCATTATTCCGTCACCTTGAATCCCACAATTTAAGTAGAAAGGTATATTTTAGTTGAACTAAGTAGTTTCAGCAGAGCAAAACAGGAAGCAGCATTCCCCCAACCCCACGCCTTTATCCTGCGTGCTGCTTAAATTTAGAAGCTGCCCTGACCGGACACTGTGGACCAGCTCCTCAGGGTGCCTGGGTGTGGGTGGGCACGTGGGAGGAGCATTTTACAGTTGATTCTCATTACCAGCATGTGTAAGCCCTGATTGATTTGATATGTCATTTTCTGGTAAAACAAATCACTCTTGAAAGCTAATATGAGGAGTGACTGAAATGATCAATGTGTTTACTCATGAACACTATGGATACTTTTTTATTGTTGTTGTTCAGTCACTAAGTCATGCCCAGCTCTTTTTGGCCCCATGGACTGTGGCACACCAGGCTTCCCTCTCCTTCACTGTCTCCTGGAGTTTGCTCAGGTTCATGTCCTTTGAGTCAGTGATGCTTGTCTAACCATCCCATCCACTGCTACCCACTTTTCCTCCTGCCTTCAGTCTTTCCCAGAGTCAGGGTCTTTTCCAGTGAGTTGGCTCTTCACGTCAGGTGGCCAAAGTATTGGAACTTCAGCTTCAGCATCAGTCCTTCCAATGAATAGTCAGGGTTGATTTCCTCTAGGATTAACTGGTCCTATCTCCTTGCAGTCCAAGGGACTCTCAAGAGTCTAATCCAGGACCACAGTTTGAAAGCATTGATTCTTTATTTTTGTGTTACTGTTTATAAGTCAGCATCTCAAAAGTACAAGTTGTTTTCAAGCAGGTTACTTTTGCCCAGAGAAGATGCTTTAGCATGCATTTCCTGGATACCGGAGTGCACTGGAAGTGGATTTCGCCTGGGGTCAGCAGGGGAGTAAATGCCCACAGCTGGCTGGGACTCGGAGGAGAAGCTGCGGGGTGGGGCTTGCTGTCAGCTGAGCGCCTGTGCCGCCATCCTTCTCCCGCCTTGGCCACTGTCAGCTTGAATTGGGCTTTGAATGACAGTGAGGGCGAGCCGACGCTGTTTCTTATTGATAAGTTACAGTCCTCAAAATGTTTGTTTAAACTTTCTTTGTTTGCATCATGTCTTCCCTCATTGCACTTTTTTTCCCGTGTGTCATATGAACCGAGGCTGCTGCTAAATGCAACTTTCACTGGCTTCCTGCAGTATTCCTCACACCTAACATACTTTTGTGGTTCACAGCTCATCTCAGAAACATTTTAAAGGTAGAAACGAGAGCACCTGCGTTCAGGAGGTTTCCTGTGGCCGTTCCATTCCCTGTGGGGGAGTGGAGAGCAGAGGGCCCTGGAAATACCAGTGGCTCAGAACCAGAGGGTGGGGGCTCCTGGTTTTGCAGCCCCCTGAAGTGACAGACAGTCAGGTGCATGGTGCTTTCATAGCCCATAACTTGTATGTAGTCAGATTTTCTGTTTAAAAACATCTTGGTGATGATCAAAGTGATGGACTTATGCTAAAAATTAAAGAATCGGAAAGCTCATCAACAGCACAGCTCCCTGTCTCAGGAGCTGTCATTGGGACGTTTCCTAATCTCCTCCTGGTCGTTTTCGCCGATGTGCCTTTCACGTTACAGCAGCTATATTGTGCCTGCATGTTTTACTACTGCTTTTTGTTTTAATATCTGAGCATTTCCCAGAGTCAGTAAGCTTTTTAAAAAAATGTCTTTGTAGAACGTAGTGACATACTCCTTTCAATAATGTGTAGGAAAAGTAGACAGAAGATCAACAAAGGAGCAGGAAGAAAACCAAGCACCTAGAAACCACTGGGCCTGGGAGACCTCTGCGGAGATCCATCATAGCGGGATCCCATTCTTCTCAGGTGCACGTGTAGCGTCCTCCAGTGTAGACCACATGCTAGGCCATAAAGCAAGCATCAGTACATTTGAAAGGATAGAAA